CAGTTCTTCCTTTGTTCGGTTTATGTGCCAATGTGCACAGAGAAGATCAACATCCCCATTGGCCCGTGTGGCGGCATGTGTCTTTCAGTCAAGAGACGCTGTGAACCGGTCCTGAAGGAATTTGGATTTGCCTGGCCAGAGAGTCTGAACTGCAGCAAATTCCCCCCACAGAATGACCACAATCACATGTGTATGGAAGGGCCAGGTGACGAAGAGGTGCCCTTACCTCACAAAACCCCCATCCAGCCTGGGGAGGAATGCCACTCTGTGGGAACCAATGCTGATCAGTACATTTGGGTGAAAGGGAGCCTGAGCTGTGTCCTTAAGTGTGGCTATGATGCTGGTTTATACAGCCGCTCGTCCAAGGAGTTCACCGACATCTGGATGGCCGTATGGGCCAGCCTGTGCTTCATCTCGACTGCCTTCACTGTCCTCACCTTCCTCATTGACTCCTCCAGGTTCTCCTACCCTGAGCGCCCCATCATATTTCTCAGTATGTGCTATAATATTTATAGCATTGCTCATATTGTGAAGCTGACTGTAGGCCGGGAAAGGATATCCTGTGATTTTGAAGAGGCAGCAGAACCCGTTCTCATCCAAGAAGGACTTAAGAACACAGGATGTGCAATCATTTTCTTGCTGATGTACTTTTTTGGAATGGCTAGCTCCATCTGGTGGGTCATTCTGACCCTCACTTGGTTCTTGGCAGCCGGACTCAAATGGGGCCATGAAGCCATTGAAATGCACAGCTCTTATTTCCACATTGCAGCCTGGGCCATCCCAGCAGTGAAAACCATCGTCATCTTGATCATGAGACTGGTGGATGCTGACGAACTGACTGGCCTGTGCTATGTGGGGAACCAAAATCTTGATGCCCTCACTGGCTTCGTTGTGGCTCCCCTCTTCACTTACTTGGTGATTGGAACTCTCTTCATCGCTGCAGGCTTAGTGGCCTTGTTCAAAATTCGGTCAAATCTTCAAAAGGATGGGACAAAGACAGACAAGTTGGAGAGGCTGATGGTGAAAATTGGTGTCTTCTCAGGACTGTACACGGTCCCTGCAACCTGTGTGATTGCCTGTTATTTCTATGAGATCTCCAACTGGGCCCTCTTCCGGTATTCTGCAGATGATTCCAATATGGCAGTTGAAATGTTAAAAATTTTTATGTCTTTGCTGGTGGGCATCACTTCAGGCATGTGGATTTGGTCTGCCAAAACTTTTCACACATGGCAGAAGTGTTCCAACAGATTGGTGAACTCTGGGAAGGTAAAGAAGGAGAAAAGAGGGAACGGTTGGGTAAAGCCTGGGAAAGGTAGCGAAACTGTAGTGTAAGGCTAGCCAGCCTCCACATGGTCCTGCTTGTGATAGGGGGAATCTGAGCATTTTGGTGGAAATGCGACTAAATGTTGTACACAACAGATCTCAGTTTGAACCAACAAGCAATACCTAAGTGACTCCCCACCCCCGCCAGCATCCTAAAACCAATGATTTTGCTGCAGACTTTGGAATGATCCAAAATGGAAAAGCCAATTAGAGGCTTTCAATGCTGTGAAGAAAAAAAATAAATCAAACTGTTGATCGCATTAGCAGGTCGCAGCTTCAGTGTGAAGGTCCAGCCTAGATTCCAGGCAATCTAGGGTGATGCTACTTTTCCTTGCAGGGTGGAATTTGAGCTGTGAGTGAGTAGTAATTTGCAGTGAGAAAGAGTACCTTATTATATTTTTTTTAACCCTTTTAAAATTTAAATACTAACTGGGTCTTTCAAATAGCAAAGCGATCTATAAACACTGGAAACGCTGGGTTCAGAGAAGTGTTACAAGAGTTTTTAGTTTGGCTGGTCTAACATAAACATCTTGTGTGGAGCAGTGTCTGCTGATTAGAACTCTGTGGACCTCGCTCCCCAGAGGTGGTGTCAGAATCTTTCCGTGCCTTTGTCATAAAACAGAATTGTTTGAACAAACAAAAGTACTGTACAAACACACCTAAGGTATCCGGTGGAGTTTTCTTCTCTCTCTCTTTTATTTAAATATCTCTATGCTAGACTGTTATATTTACATTCAAGACTAAAAAAAAAAAAAGAAAGTATTTTTATAGGCATTTTTACATGGCAGCATGCCTAATGAGGGGAAAATGAAGGGCGAGTCGCTTTTTGACAATCACTTAATTCAGAGGAAAATGAGATTTACCAAGTCTCCTTACCTTACCGACCCCAGAGACCTATGGCACTGAGCAAATGAGACTCACTGTATCTTACTCCGTGTGATTGCATCTCTGTCGACGCCAGTCTGGAAGAGTGGAAATGTTAAATTTCTTGGCAACTTTGCACTCACACAGATTAACTGTGTAATTTGTGTGTGTCAGTTACAATTAAAAGCACATTCTTGGATCATGACATAGTCTACTCACTGACTTTAAAACTATGGTCAACTAGCATTCTCAGAATGATAGTGCCTTCTCCCCCTTGGGCATAAGAATGTTATCAGAGTCTGGTCTGCTTGCAACAATGGAGACCTTTTCAGTTTTGTGAAGGGAACCAAGGACAGCTAATCTAACTACTTGATGCATAATTGTTTCCTTGTAATTGGCAAAGGCTCCTTATAAGATTTCCTAGGAGGCAGTGTGGCCTGCAGTATTTATATGGTGCTTAATGAATCCATAGAATGCCAGTCAGGAGCCTGATTGGTTAGCAGGGAATAAAGTGTAGACCCTATGAAATGAACTGCAAACTCTAGCAGCACTGGTCTTAATTGCCTTTTGTGAAGGTATCCAAAGCCTTTCAAATTTATACTTTACATTCGCCTCACAAGGGGGTACCCCCTAGCAGCCTCTCAAAAGTTGCAGTGCTTTTAAAATTGTAACTGGCCTCTATTAACTCGCCTTAGGCTTTCTAATCTCCAGATCTCTGGGACAAATTGTTGACAATGTCACAAGTTGCTCTCCTGGTAACTCATACCTGTCTTTGCTTCAGTTCCTGCTTTGCAATGACTCATTTATTTATTTATTCGTACCTTTTTTTAAGCCAGTAGGAAAGCTCTCTTTTATCATTCTTTGTGGAGAAGTAGTTCCAGAGACTCAAAATTTCAAATAAGCAGTCAAATTCTGGACATAAGCGTGCCTTTTTTGGCAGGATGGGGTTGATATACTCTTCTGCCCTGGTTTGTCATTTCTCCTTTCCTTTCTACTCATCTTCTGTGATTGCTGAGCTATCTGAGATGAGGATGCACATAAAGACTGTTGTGTGTTTTGGAAGGGAAAGCCTCAGGACTTTTAAGGCAGAAGCTAAGTGGGCATGGACGGCCCCGTGCTGCTGTCGGCCGAGCCTGAGTGCCTGGGTGGACTCTGGGTCAGGGCTCCTGGAGCATGAGAAATGGTCCCCAAATGGGCAAGTTTGACTCCATCTGAGACTGCATTGCCTATGAAATGCAAAATGTGAACTCCCTGTGCTGCTTGCCGACAGTTCCCATAACTGCCCAGGGCCCTGGAGCACACACCCAGGGCAGAGCCTGCCCTTACTCACGCTCCGCTCGAGTGTCTTGGGAGTTGGGTAGATACTCTGGCCCAGGAAGCAAAGGCCAGTGCAGCTGGGGACTGCCGTTGGAGGATTTACAAGGCCATTTTCCCCTTAAGGTTTCAGTGATCATGTGACCAAGGCAGCACACACCTAACAGAGGCTCAAACATAGAGTTAGGTGTTTACAATTTGTGAATGGATGAAAAATAATAATAAAAGAGCCCTCAGGTGAGGCTGGGCAATACAAGTTCTGGAGCTGGTGTTTTGATAGTCTCTGGGCTGTTACATGTCTAATCCAGAAAGCCTTTGCCTTATCAGGGGAAAGTATATTTGATCAGAACTGGCTTGCTGGTACAGACTGGATTAGTAGCCTTGACAGTGTCACAGGGCTGTAGGCCTTTCACATTCCACACAATGGAGAGGGCTTATGGTTTGAGAAAAGGAACTTGGTGGCTAAGGAGTTGGTTACCAGTTACCTCGAAGTGACTCCATCTCTTCTTAAATTACTATTTGATTTCTCAGCATGTTTACTGAGTGCCAACTATATGTACAGCCTGTGTTAGACACCTGAGGATGTAATATGCAGCGTAAGTTCAGAGGTGACAGCTTTATTCTTCTCACACTGACGATGCTCGTGAGTCACTGAACTTCCTCGTTAGTTTTGTGAAGAGGCCTCTATAATTTCTATCTCTTTCACTGTCTGCATCCCAAAAAATTCTTTTTCTTGAGTCTTTCTACCCTTATTCATGTCAGCTTGGGGCTTTTTCTGAAACAGGGGTTTTGACAGAAAGCACCAGCTTTCATATGGTCTGAGGAAAACTCCTAGAAAGACTATGAAAATAGTCTGTGAGGACCAAAGTACCATCGTCTAATTGGACTTGGGTCTGACAAATCACAGCATGGCATGTGTTCCATCCATGTGGCTTGTCATGGTAAACTTGGGGACAGCATTTTGCTAAGAAAAAGGCTGAGGCAGCTTTTCTATTGTTGAAATCTGGAACGAGTAGATAGGATTATCACTTCCTACTAAAATCCATTGGCCTCCAGATATTTTGTTAAGTGGACCCCAAGGTCACTCCGTCAAGTCTCTTTTCTCCTCTTCATAAAAGCCAAGTCTCAGGAAAGAGGAATATAAGTTAGGGCCAAACTAGCCAGAACCATCTGGTTGAGCTGTGTGGTTGATTCATATCTTTTTTTCCTTTATGGAGGCCTATTTCCTGATCTCTGAAACAGCTTGCTCAAGCTCCTGAAACCGGAGAAGAGGTGACACACGTTATTTCCCTGAGCTGCTCTCTGACTTTCCTTTCTTGAGTCACTTTTCCCCCACAGTCCCTAGCCCCAGAATATGGAGTGCTCTCTCTCTGGGTTCTGAATTACTACCCAGAAATCCCAGCTTCCTCCCCTCTGTAGCCCTCTGGCCACTGGATTAAGTGTGTTTGTTTTGGTGACCATTCTAGGACCTGAAGACACAAAGATGAACTTGACAACCTCTGCCTGAAGTGGCACACTCAGTTGAAAGGGATGCCACTAGCAAAGTGCATCCTTTCCCAATGGCAATTAGGAACCAAAGCCTCAATGGCAGCCCTTGGAAGGAACTCAGTTCTATGGTGGAGGGCATTGGAGAGGGTCCAGACAGTTATGCCTAGTAACTCTTCTGTTGTATTAATTTGAGGTCAGAGTCCCAATCTGGATTTGTATTATGTCTGGCAAAGGACCACAGTTACTATTTTGCCTTGGTCTTGGTTGCAGATTTTGGAAACTCTTAGGAGGATATTTTGCTCCTATCAAAGATCAGATAGATATTAGAGTCTTAAATCATGGCATATCTTTCACTGCAGCCTAGTTGGTGCTGTCTGGCACTGTATCTTGCCAGTCACACATACAGTAATGACAGTACCAGGAGGAAAGTGAAACAAGGGTTCCCCGACAAGCCACTTCCCCTTGGTAAGCCCATTGCCTGCTTCTTATTTCCCTTCTCCCTCTTTAAATCAATAAATTCTCAGTATTCACCCAGGCAACTTAAAGAAGAACTATCTGGGGGTTCTGCTTGAGCCATGTCCTAAAGCTTTTGTACCTCATGATCTCTTAAAATATTCAGTGTGTGACCACTGTCACCCCAGAAGGCATCTGAGAACAGAGAGAAGACCAGCCCTGCCTCATGGCTGGGAGAAGACTGGGTTCATCTCTCTCCCAGCTTGTCGACATTTTAAAATCCTGTTTGCGGACATTTGGCACTGACTTGGCTCTGGGCTTTTGGGAGAGAATAAGAAGCTGCTTCCTAGGTCTTTCCCATGGGGCATAAAGGTAGTTCTGAACCCCCCTCCCACCTCATAGGGATATTTTGAAGTTTTAAGTCTGAGGATCAAAGCTCCTTGAGCTCTTTGGAAGAAAAGTGGAATAAAAATTAGGTGCCATGGAGGAAAAGCTAAAATATGACTCAGCCTGCTGTGGGTTGCAGCCCTGCTAGTTGTTCTATATCCTTGTGTCCCCATGCCGCCCTACAGCTCCAGCCACCTCGACAACAACCTGGAGGACCCTCAGATGTTCAACATCGAGGTACCAGGCAAATTCCTGCTACACATACTCTGAATGAATTGCTGAACGTCAGAGGAAATGGTCCCTGTTTTCAAGGATGTACAAAAGTATGCCTGCATTGATGTCTGTACTGTAAATTTCTAATTTATCACTGTACAAAAAAAAAGAAACTTTGCTATTTAATTTTTGTATCAAAGATAAATAAAGTTTTGTTTATTAACTGGTAAATGACTTGGCAGTATTCCTGATAATGTGTGATTGTCCCTGGGAAGCAGACGGACAGACGG